CCCAAGGAGAACTGGTATCTGGGTGGGGGATGGGAAAGAACAGAACAAAAAAAGAGTATGAGAATATTTGCCATTGATTATTTGTACTGCTTTAGTTCCAGGTGGAGAACCTTATATGTGGTTAGGTACATGAGGGAGCCAGTAATCCCCGTATAATCATTAACAATTGGAAATTGAGTTGTTAAGTTCCACTAATTATATTCTTTCTCACGAACTTATTGGTTAATCATTGACAAAGGCAGAGCCATTTCCATGTTTACAAGAGTAGGCAAGTATGCATTCAAGACAGTAGGTGGTCTTTAAGTGTATTATGAGGGTCTAGTTGCCTAAAAGAACTTCCTGGAAATCCTTGAAGTCTACTAGAACACTTCCTGAGTGGTCTAAAACCCCTAAATCAACTTATTAGATGTCATAATGTCTCTAAGAGGTACCACTAGTTGAACTCTTCATGCTGAGGTTTCATTTTCCCCCAGCATGCAGGCTGGATGATGAATCTATTTTTTACTCCCATTCTCATTCCATGAGTGATCCCCCAAGTTGGGCATTTCTAAGTCAGGCTCCCAAACTTTGTTGAGGAAGATTGAAAACATTCAGAAGACCAGGTGTCTGAGTAAGAATACATAATTGAATATTCTGTCTCTTTTTCAGGCTCCAAAATGGCAAGCCAAAGACTTCAGGAACTAGCTCAGTTAAATTTGATAGTGATGAGGTAAGAAAGAGCATTAGCAAATGTACCTTTGTGAACTTCCTTTGAGCCTGCTAAGAGTACTTTATAAATTGAATCGCAGAACTTTCCTGTTGGAAAGCAAAAAGGGGTCAAGACTTACATAGAGAGCAGGGTTAATTTCTCTAATTTCATGAAAGGCAAACAGTCACAGAACAGAGAATAGGCAGGGACATATCAGCAACAAGTCAGGGCTCAAAAGCCAGCATCCAGAAACCTCTCCTGGGTGTGAGTAAGTGTAAACCCTGACTTTCCTAGGCTTTGTGGCCACCTCTTGAAGTCTAGTGGACTTTAAAACTCCACTGAATAACTTGGATGCTTCCCTAGGTTTATTATATTCCAGTGAATGTTCCAGGTCAACTTGTATCTTATCAGCCAGAGATAGTGCAGTTCAGCATAAAACTAAAAGCCTATTCCAGTCTGAACACTTCTGTGGGTTGAGTCAACTACTGGAGACAAATGTGGACCCACGATGCAATACCTCAGAAAAATTCAGGAGTGAAAATATTTGCCCCAGAGACTTTCTCCCCTAAAATTAAACAAAACAAAACAAACTAAAAAAGTAAAAAACTCTACATCGTTACCCCAAATAAAGTTTTCTGAGACTTCTATGATTCTAAACAAATATGTCATTTCTGTGAAACAGGTTTTTCATAATACATTTTTGTATTATTTGAACCGAAGGACTTCAACTATCCAAAAGATAATAAAAATTCAATCACTGAATCCTTGGATTCATCCCCTATTGAATCCCACTGTTCCTAAAGGAATATATGACATGGCTCTGCTGGTGCTTCTCCTGGTCCTCCCCCTGGTCCTCCCTCAGTCTCCAGGAATTGCCAAGTCCTGGCATTTTCCTCCTGGAATATAATAACTCCCTTTATGGCACAGTTCTGTCCCATTTTTACGTCCCTCTTCTCCACTCACCTTTCTGGTTTACTCACCCTTTCTGTGCCAGTTCCCTTTCCTCTGCATCCCACCCTATCTTACCATCTCACCCCTTGGGGGCATGGCAAGCTTTAGAAATGCTGATCCAAATACAGGACTGTGCCCCCTCCTCTTTTTCTGATTTCGGATTATACCAGGCCCAGAGGAGGTAACTTGTAGCTTTTATCTCCTTGTGTTTTTATCCCTTTGATTGATCCTTAGAAAACCTGGGGCTAAGCTAGAGGCTAGGTAACATCCTGGGTCAGCAGGAGATGGAGGCCTGGCAACTGTACCACCAGACACAACCCTCTAACCATCTGCCATCACCAGCAGTACCACCAGCAGGAAAATGCAAAGTGGTAGACAGAAGTGTTACCAAAATTCAATTACATTTTGCAGCATTTCTGGAAGAATCATATACAGCAGAAATGTTCAAAACTGCAAAAGGCACCATGGTTTCTCCTCTCCTCTGTGAGTGTGTCTACTCCCAGCTCAGCAAGCAGTTGTCCCTAGGGCTTCCCTTAGGACAGCCCTTAGGACCCACAACCCTTAGGACACTGCCTTTTTGTAACTTACTTTTTTTCCTTAAAGGTTACCCTCCGTATTGTTTTTCATTTAAGATTTCATTCCTACAGAAATGGAAAGGGCAGAAAAAAAGAGGAGGGATTCCTTGGAGTGATTTGTCCCCATCTGAACACTGATGCTATCCTTGCCGACATTACCTTCTAACAGTTTTACCTGAGTTTTCCTATGGCTGGTCCGCATGAAAGCTTCCCTTTCAGCATATCCCAGAACCTAGGCCTCCTTGCTGCGGCCCACATACCAAAACCCAGGGTGCAAAACACAAGCACAGTGTTCTCCTCACGTCATCTAAATTGGAGACCAATTTTAGCCAGACTAAGGCCAGGTAAGGAATGGAATCCTGTTTAGGACAGGTACAACTTGAAACCACTCATTTTGACTATTGCCTCTAGATTTTTGATGCAGTAGGACAATCACAATCTGTTCTAGAGAAGCTTCAGGATTACACAGTCCATCCAAACTTGGTAAGTGGAAAAAGCATTCCCCGCGGTCTCTAAGAGCAAGTTTCAGCGGTGGTGCCACCCAGCCCCATAACGGAGTGTCCCAAATGCTTCTGAGTGCCACAAGCTTCTGTGACCGTGTGTCACCAGCTCCTAGGGCAGCACAGAGGCAGTGCTGGGAATGGGGGTGAGGAGGACAGAGGGAGACACTGGGAAGAGGGTAGTCCCTGCAAGCTGTTTGTGTTTTTTTTCAATAGAGAAAACACTTATAATCAGGAGGTATTTCATTCTCTTCCTTCTCCAATCCTCTACCTTCCTCCTATTGACAGAAAAACAAATTTAAAGGGGCTGCCCCATCCCCCATCACATCTTAAGTGACAGGCTGTCTTTTGTGAAGGTTTTTCCTTTTTAATGTTGTGCTTATTATGCATGTTAACATGGTTGTGCCTGCAGAGAAACGTTGGTGGGTCACAAGATGTAGATAAGGGCTGTGTTGGCCCCCTCAGAACTCCCTGACCAAGGAGCTAGGGGCCCTGCCAGTTTCTCCTTTCTGCCTCAGAGAGTTGTAGAGAAGGCCATTCAGGTTTAACACAGAAACTTCTGTTTACCCCATTGTGTTGGGCATGATGTTATACTTTTTCAGAAGTAAGTCATTTTGCTCCTTTTATTGTGGAAATCTTTCCGTTTCCCCACCCCTCTTCATCTATGTTCTGAGAGAAGAAAGAGACAAGAGAGCCTCAGATATCTTCAGTTAAACAAATTTCAGAGCGGATTTGTCCAGCCCCATGCAGCCTCTATCCGTACCTCACAGAGGACAAAGATTAGCCAACTGATTTGTTAATCTTCTCTTGATCTAACCCTTCTTCTCTCTGGAAACCTTTCTGTCTGCCCAGGCCCAGTACTATGAGCCTGTGAAGCCCACTGCACTGCAGAAATCCCTGGCTCGAAACCGGAAAATCAAAAGCTTCATGTTAAAAGTAGCAGAGTATGATCAGGATAAGGCTTTACTGATTTTGACAAACAACCCACTTCCTTGCCCAATCGACCATCAAGGAAAGGACATCACACCCACATACTTTCCCAACGAGTTACTGTTGAAGGTAATAGCACTGGGGGAAGTGTCCTGGCACCCAGAGTAAGGACCCTGAAGTTTTAGGAGTTAGCTTGAAGGAGGGAGCTACCTGAACATGGACAATGGTATTCAGGATCCAAACTTCCTTCTTATTCTTTGCCATATGCTTCACCAAACCACCTGGAGATCCTAGAAAATAGCATCAGAGTTGTATAAGCTTGGGTCATGAAACTTCATTGCACAGAGAAAAAGTGTCTTGATTAGAAATTGTTCCTCCTGGACCAAAGTTTGTAATTAATGTAAACTAGCCACTGCCTTTCTGGTTGAGTATAAAGTAGCAAAGGACAAATCAGGAAAGGAAGAATAAGGAACAGGAAAGAATATCTAAATGGAAAGGGAGTAAAGGGTTATGCTTTACACGCACTGCTTTTGGGTGTCAGGAGAAGGGAAGAGGAACGAAGCAGAGAATTTACCATCATACCTGACAGATACTTGGGACTCTGTTACACATGAAAGAGGCTCAGATTCAATCTGGTAAACGATTGCTGACCATACAGTAAGCTAGGAACTAAAATAAAAAGTGTTTACAGGGCAGTTTCTATCTTGAAGGACCTTGGAGTCTAATAGAGAGAGATCAATACATAAGATATATTAAAGTAATTATAATATACCAGGATATATGAATAAGGAAAGAATACACAAAATACAGAACTAATATAGACTAGAGATTCATACCTCTGCTGCAGGAAAGGGGATGACCAGCAAGGTTTTAGCGAGTGGGTGACACCTGACAAAAAAATATGAGAATATTCCAGTCAGAAAGGGGGGCAGGGGCAAAAGCAAGGAGACACGACGAGGTAAGGTGCATTTAGGGAGATGTGAGAGAGTAAATGGTAGGAGATAAAAGGTATAATCAAGTTTGAATTTTGGAAAGACCTTTCTTGGAGGTTGGGAGGAAAAATGCATTCATTGTGGAAGAGAAAAAAATCAGAAAGATTAGTTATGATGTTACTACAATAGTCAAGGTGAGAAATGCTGAAGAATGAACTAAACCAACATCAGAGGAAGTGAAGAAAATCAATTTAAGAGATGTTTAGGAGTCAGGACTTACAAAGATCTCTTGAGAGCAGGCCAAATGTAACAGGAAGAAATTAAATGTGCAAAGTGAAAGGGCAAACAAAAGGATCTAATTGTAACAGAAATTTAATCTTGGGATTGGAAGTACCCACAACAGACCCTTACAATAAAATGTGGTAGATTCGGAATTCATATTTCCTTAGATGCTAGATGGATGACAGTGAATGATTCCTCTCCAAAAGGAGGATAAAATACTAATATCCAATGGTATATGTTGACAAATGAGGACAAAGGAGTCAATGAACTACTTCACTGTCTATGGTCTGTTCAGTCTCAGAATATGTGCTGTTTAAACGTAAGCTCAGTGGTTGTTTCTCATGGTGATGGGTAATATACACTGAGAAAGAGACATATGCCAGGCCAGGATTGCCCTGTCCAAGGTAAAGAAGGAAATTCAAGACTATCGTGTAACCTTGGTACAAGAAGAGTTTTCTTCCAACACCTGGCACTTTGTGAAACTTCCAGATCACATGCAGGACCTGATCATGTTCATGAGCAAATTTTGGCACCAGCCAAACTGTATTAATAGACAGAGTTAAAGCTCTGATTATCAAAGACTGGCACCATGGTAATTTAATGGGGCTATCTGGAGCAAGTCCAAGAAGATGGAAATGCCCATATCTAAAATCCTCTTTAATATTCATGCTGCATCCTTTCCTCTTGCTAGACAAATGCAACAATCTTTTATGAGCCTAAGATCGTATGCAAAAGAAGCATTCTTTTGCTATACTCAGGCATGTGTATGAGAGTGTGGGTTTCAGCAGGCAAGTTGAAGAATGGACCAGACATGTCTATCATGGATAATGTAGTGTGATTAACTGCCACAGCAAAGCAGGATAAGGGAATAGAGTATGATAGGTGTGAGTAGCAATTTTAGATACTATAGTTAAGGAAGGCTCTCAGAAAAGACCATGACATTTGAACAGAGACTTTAACAGTGTGATGGGATGCATCCTTAAATTGCTACACCTAGCATACTATTTTCATTTCAGATTGCCACACATTAGGAAGATGTATATTGTAACTTTCTCAAATGAGTTACAATGAGACAAATTAGGAGATTAGGAGACACAAAGCCATACTATATGAAGAAAAGTTGAAAATATTGGCAATGTTGAGCCTGGAAGAAAGAGTGAGCTTAGGAGGAATGTGATATTTCTTCAAATTCTTTAAGGACCCTGTGGAAGAGCCACTAGATTCATTTTGTTTGGACTATAAGATAGAAGTTGCATGGGGATAACTGTCAGCTGATATAAGATGAAAGGCTTTTAGGAAGATGGACCACCTAATGCTAATACCATAGAGGGGATATGAGTGTCAGATGAATTGTTAGACTGGATGACCTTTAGACTTTCTGAAAGTCTTTGATTCTATGACCTTTAGTAATGATGAAGTTAGTAGTTCACAAAACAACCAATCTATGGCCTTTTCACTGAAGACAGGGAATGGAATGTGAAAGGTAGAATCCTATGGATCTGTTTTCCAGTTTATTGCCAAATGTTTGATTCTAAGCAATTCACCAATTGAATCCTTCTAAAAACTGGCTAACTTCCTCTGCCATTCACTTCAAAGGTCCCACTGGGCAACTCCAGTCAATTACTCAGGGCACTGACCAAGTCATCTGGCAGTGAAACAAATAGGTACAATAGTCCCCCCTTATCTGTAGTTCTGCTTTCCGTGGTTTCAGTAGCCTGAGGTCAACTGCAGTCCAGAAGCTGATGATCCTTCTGATGTATTGTCAGAAGGTCAGTAGTAGCCTAGCACTACGTCATTCCCCTCACTTCATCTCATCACATGGGCATTACCTCATCTCCCATCATTACAAGAAGAAAAGGGGTGAGTATGGTACAATACTGTACTTTGAGATAGAGACCACATTCACGTAACTTTTATTACAGTATATTGTTATAATTGTTCTGTTTTATTACCTTACTGTGCCTAATTTATAAGTCAAACTTTATCATAGGTATGTGTGTATAGGAAAACACATAGTATATATAGGCCCAGTTTCAGGCATTCACTGGGGGTCTTGGAGTGTATCCCCCTTGAATAAGGGGGTGACGGCTGTCCATTCAGGAAACTGCTTCCTCTTTTGGTTTCTGAGTCCCCACTTCCTTCTCTGATAGGTTTTGTTACCTCATTTTAGGGGAATTGGAACTCAGTCCAGGACCTTAGTTCAGCCTTTAAGTCCCAAGGGACTCAGCTAACTCCCTTACTCTTCTTCCTTCTGCTACAGGAAAGTTATCACCACCCCAAACCCACTGAGAACTTCCACCTACCTCTGATGTCTCACAGAAAAAAGTTAAGATCTGAGCTGAAGCCAATCTTCCCAACTGAGAACTTCCACCTACCCGTGATGTCTCACAGAAAAAAGTTAAGATCGGAGCTGAAGCCAATCTTCCCTGTGACACTGTTGGAAGAGAATCCTACATCCAAGCGAGAACAATGGTTTAGGTGAAGTCCTGACTCTTCTTGTAGTCATTTCCCCCTATCTTTTCCTTATTTGTGTTACAATCTCTTTTGAATAGGACTTAACACACACTTTTGTTTGTAGGGAATATGTACAACCATACAATAATAAGACAGCTTCTCTACATGACCCCCAAACTCAATTTTACCCCAACAAGAGAGAAATAGTGATGTAAAACTAAGGTTTTTACTGAGAATGATTTTCAAGAGTTAAGAGAATATTCAAAGGTCTGTGCTTTTAAGCAACAACAACAAAAAAAGTTTTCCTGAGCATATGTTAAGAGCTGTAGCAGAGGAACAGCATGCTACGGTATTTTATTTGAAACTAGTTATAGGAACAGCATGTATCTTGTTTGGAGAGGAGAGAAGAGGAGAGGAGAGATTCTGGAGTCCCTTCTTAGTTTACAATGCCAGGTTCCGGAAGCATCCCTTCCACTGAATGACACTTCACCCTGTACTGTGAAAAACCTCTAGACATTGTCATTTCTTCTCCCCCAGGATTGAGAATGCAGTGACTGAGTCCCTTACCTCCCTGCTCTAGATCTACTGAATGAGCTTTCTTTCTTAAGGTTTTCCACAGACAATGATTTCAAGAGTGAAGGGAAGTATTCAAAGGCCTATGTTTTGAAGAAACAGGAGAAAATGTACCCTCAGCTCAACTTTGCTCCAGTCTATAAAAGAGGTATGAGGAAGTGTGATAAACACCTTTCTCTCAAATCAATGGCTTATGGGACTGAGGTGAGGAGGGACAGTCTATGAGGATGAGAGATAAGGGCTAATCAACAACTCTGGAGACTATTTTTCCCTTGTAACATAGAAGCTAAGGACTGATAAAGGCCCAAGTAGTGCTAGGCTTTGGATCCTGTATAAATCCTCAGATTTCGAGAAAGGTCTAACATAGTGTTTCCCAAACTACATCACCTACCACCTTAATGGTTTTGGCCATTTGAATGTGTTATTTGCCTTATTATTTACTTAACATTTTTCTTAAAAAGGATTGTTTTCTTCTTGTCTTAATAGTGTATCATTGACATCATGGGTTTGAGACACTACATGTTTTTTTCTAACATACATTTAATCAAATTTATAATAATTAAAATTTTAAATGTTTTCACAAAACACTACCCACTGATATGCATATCACGCTTGGAGGAAAACTGTTTTAGAAGGGCCGAAGTATAAGTCTGTCAGTCTCACAGGTCTACAAGTCTCTCTGGGGTTGATGCAGGACATGGGGTGGAAGGGATTTGGGGTAATAGAATGCTCCTCACAAATTACCATTTGTGTAACAACATGTATGGGGTACCTATTAAATGATGGGCACTTATCAGGCACCAATAATGGCATTTTCAACAGGTGACATAGATAGTTGGACCAGATCATGAAGGGCCTTGTAATACATTGTATCAATAAGGGCTTGAGTTCTAGCCAGTAGGCAGTTAGGACCCTACTGATTTCAGAACACTGAATATACATTTGTGTATTAAAAGTATAATTGGTGGGTCCCTAGATTTCACCAGCTATGGCTTCAAGATAAGGCTCATTTTTCCTACCAGGTTTCTCTCATGCAATTTCCGAAACTCCCTAAGGTATCTTACCTGTTCTACAAGGCCATTCTGGTGGTTGCTTAACATCTTTGGCAGCCATCCTCATTCCAAACAGTCACAGTTCCAGAGGTGTGAGGTCATGTTGTACCACCACTTAACTGGCTTCTTCAGGCTACTTTGCTCCTCCTGTACCTATTTGCCACCCCACCCCCATGCTCACTTACTGCCTTTCTTAACTCCCCATATACAGCTAAAATTAAGCTGTGATATTAAACAACACTTCATAGATGTGGAGAAAAGTTAAAGAACAGAGAGTCATTTGTCTTGCTTTAAAAGCTGCTAGTCTTAGGCTCAGCCTCAAACCTAACTGTGTTCCTACTAAGTGTTGGACACTTATCAGGCACCAATAATACTTTCAGTATGTGAGATAGATAGTTGGACCACCACATTACCCATTCTTGGGAATCTCCTGGCTTATCTACACTGTCTCTGCCTAGTCTCCCAATAACCTTGGCCTAAGGAAAGAGAAGAGGGTCCTTCCTTCTCCAAAGTCTGTTTCTTTTCATCCCCAGCATAAGTAAGTAGGAGCATCTATTTCCTTCAAAAGCAATGCCATCTGGAAAGCAAGGTTTTAGCTTTATAAACCAGATAAGGCAAGCACAATAATTAATAGTTTATTTACACTTAGTAAAGTTGGAGTTAAGTCTTAAATGAGACTGTTTGTAGGTTATAAGCAATTCAGTTTAAATTCATCTTGGGAGATTTCTTTAGAATCTAGAGTCTAATCCACATTAGAATTCCTTTGTTTTTCAAGGGCATGATCCTGTTAATGATATACCTATCCAATTTATATTTTTAAACCCAACTCTTAATGTCTCAGTTGGTAGCATTTATTAGATTATGGTGACTTACAGTTTCCCTCAAGAAAAGTAAGCAGATACTTTATTTATGTATCAGAAGGGCCCACTGTGGTGCTTTTCCTAAACAAAGACAATCTATATTGTGAAGTTGAAACAATGTCTCCACTTCAAGCAAAAGAGACTGTTAGCAAGGCTCCTTAGGCCAATAACGTTGGATGTTTACTCTACATCCAAATAAAGAAAGGTTACATGGAGAACGGTTTGGATGGGAGCCAGGAAGGCTAGTCAGGAGGCTGCTGGAAAGACATACAGGACCTGATTTAAGGTAATAGCAGGAGGAAGGAAACAGGTTTAAGGGATGCTTACAAGGCATAATGCATTAAAAAAGTGGGGAGGTATGGGAAGAAGGCCCACATGGAAGCTTCCAAGAACAGGCAGAGGTTGAAAGAGAATGTACATAAAGTAATGACACTGAGGCCAAAGGTAGAAACACTTGCTTAGTTACAGCATCACACAGAAGTGAAAGCCACATACATTTTAGGAAATGGCTGTGAGGCATATGAATATACAAATGAATGCACCTTAATTTCATGAGAGTTATACAAGTGTCAATATAATTGCAGATGGAATCATTTGAAAGGGGTGGGATTAAACAGGGAAGCCTCTAAACTGGCAGTATTTTAAAATGAGTTGTGGGAAGGGATCCAGAATTACAAGGAAGACGGGGAATGACAGGAGTAAAGACCAGCTTTCTGGTTCCTCCAGGGGGGTATCTTTCATGCCTCATATTAGGTGTCCTAGACCCTCCAGGAATCCACATTCACCAAGGTGCCCTGTGCTTTGCTGCAGTCTCCAGGAAGCCACAGAGTGAAGTGCCGACTTCCAAGGTGATCTGGGAACCCCTCACCCTTTCATCGCTCCTGGAAGAGAAACCCACCAGAACCGCGCCAGGAGAGAGCTCCTTCGGCAATGGAAGGGCCCAAAAGTGGATTATAAAAAATTTCACTCTCGTTAAGTGAAAACAAACCGTTGGGGCCCCTCGCCTCGGCCTCCAGAGACTGAGGGGCCTGAGAAGTCGCTATCCAGGGAGTGCCAACCAAATAAAATCGCATTCTGTCCCCGTCGGGCGTGAGCTGCCGGATCGCTGGCGGGTGGGCCGGGATCTGGGCCGGGAATTGATCCCCGCTTCTAGCTGAGGCCCCAGGGGCCGGGACCCGGTCCCCGGGATCCAGTGCCCGGCCCCGCCCACGCCGGGCAGGCGGAGTTGGAGGGCGTGGCCGCGGCCCAGGGGACAAGAGCCTCCGCGACAGCCGGGGAGGGCGGGCCTTCTCCCCGAGTGACGGGACGGCGACCCAACCGGCGCCAGAACACGGGGCCGGCCTTCCTGCAGCTTCTTCCGCTCGCCGGCTGCGGCGCCTGGGACGGTTGCGGTGGGTCTGGGCGCTGGGAAGTCGTCCAAGATGATTAAAAAATTCGACAAGAAGGACGAGGAGTCTGGTACGCGCTGGGCTTCTGACGCCCACCCTGAGCCGCTGAGGCCCCTTGCCCCGTGCCGCCACCTGCTCTCGGGCTGCCGGCCTGGGGGCGTGGGCACCGGAGCGCCGGGGGCCGGAGTTGGAGCCCGGCCCCTCCTCCGCCCCGTTCCGCTCCAGCCGGGGGCCTGCCCCTAGCCCCTCCCCCGGCGCCGGAGCCTCCCTTCGGGTCGCGCGCGCTCGCGCCGCGCGCCGCCTCGGGCTGCTCGGCCCCGTCCCCGCCCCCTCCCCCGGGCGCGGGCCTTCGGAGCCGTGTCCGCCGCGCTCGCGGAGGTGGGCTGCCCTCAGAGGAGGCGGGCCCGCGGCGGGTGGCGGAGGGAGTGAGTGCGCGCGCGCGCGCGGGTGAGCTGGGGGGTGCCGGTAGTGTCAGACCCAGTGTAGGTCTGCGATCGACGGACAGCGTGCGCGTTTATGAACTTTGAGGTGCTTTGCACCTTACAGTCTTCTGAGGACCAGAACTCGGTCCTCTTCCCAGGGGGCAAGACTGTGCCGTGGTGCATAGATCAGTTAATGCTCAGGCATCCAAAAGAGAGTTGCGTCTTGACACCTGTCTTTGGCCCATGTCAAATGGGGAAACTGCCAAACCAACTAAAAAAAAAAAAACTTCAAGAAAACCCCCAAACAAACAAAAAACTCAGTTTGGTGCTGTTCGTACATGGTGTGGTAGAGGTTTGGCTTAGTAAACCTCCATGGCCCTTTCCAGCTATATGTATATGACTGATAAACTCTTTTCTGCCTCGCAGTAAATGTTAGAAACATATAAAATAGTGCTTGCCTTTAGGGAAACCCTAAGGGCCCTACCACAATCTAATTAACTTCCGTTGTTTGGATGTGACACATACTGGTGACATGCACTGTAAAAAGAGCAGGGAAAGAGACGCTCGTTTCGGGCAGGGTTCCTGCAAAGAGAAGTACAGGTGAGCAATGACAGCTGGTACCAGAATCTAAATGATTTTATTCAATTTATATGCATATTAGTAATGATTATCACTGATATCCAGTGGTCACCTCACTTAGGTGAGATATGCCACACATTCAGTACCCTTCTGTAGAAAATAAGCTTGTGTAGGACCCCTATTAAAGATATTTTTTGTTTATAATATAGGTAGTGGATCCAATCCTTTTCGGCATCTGGAGAAGAGTGCTGTCTTACAGGAGGTATGATTGGAAGTATATTGTATTCTTTCTTTTCTATTCCATTTTGGAATGATGGACAGAGAACTCCTGCAATGCTGTGACCCAAAATAAGGAATGTAACTGAGTTCAGAGAATATAGACTTGAGGGAAAAAGAAGCAGGGTACTTGTCATAGTAGAGATTGGAGCTTACAGAAAAGGAAAAATATGTGGACTCTGCCACATGCTGAGAATTTTAAATAAAATGCCAGAAGATGTGTTTAGTCCAAGGTTATTAAAGGAAGTTAGAGATATTAAGCTCATTGTATTTGATGATGTGGATAAACATTATGATTCTTAACAGATAAAGCCCATGAAGTTGAAGTAGTAGACCTAAGGGTTAGAGTAATGGAAAATCAAGGCCACATCTAATAATATATTAAATATCATTATAAATTGAAAACTGTTCACAATTAATTACTTGGATATTGTGATCAAAATATATAATTGTCTTTATTAAAGTTGATTTTTCGTGATGTGTGATAGAAAAGATAGAAAATGTACTATGTGTAACAATGTTTTTTGTCACGTAGGCTCGTATATTCAATGAAACACCTATCAATCCAAGAAGATGTTTGCATATTCTTACAAAGATTCTGTATTTACTGAACCAGGTAAACTATTTTGTTTTTCCTCAGATTTGTGTCCTGGAATAGAAATATATAACATGCAGTGAAGTACTTTCTGGAAAACATAATTATTTATTTTTTAAAAATTCATTTAATTAAAAAACCCAAGGTGGTTGATGAAGGTATTATGTAAAACTCATTGAGGACAAGGATTATGACTTCAACCTCTTTTTTATTCATGAGGTATTAAACCAGCCGAGCATATAGTAGATCCTCAACACTGATTTGAATTTAATAAGTATTAATGTTAAAACATTTTGTTTACATTTGTTCAAGTCTTTTTTTCCCCTCTAAAAATACAGTATAAAATCATAGACAAATTCCAAATTCTACCCTTTTTAGTTGGGGAGGCTGTAATAGTGATGTTTTAAAGCTTTGATTTTAATATTCAGATTTTATATTTAGTATTTTTACTCCATCATTATCAGCAATGTCATTCTGGGTTTAACTATTTTGTTACCTAAATTCCTTTTCTGTAAATGGGGGTTATGATAGTACTGTTTTATAAAGATATAATGATTAAAAAGGATAATAAACATAAAGCATTGAGAATAGACACATAGTAAGCATTCAGAAAAAGTTTTCATTCTGTCATTCAGCAGATATTTATTACACACTTGCTGTGTCCTGTGCACTGTTTTAGGCACTGTGGATATAGCAGACAAAACCAACAAAACTATTTGCCCTAATGAAACATAGATTCTGTTATTGTAATTCATTTAATTTTTTTCTTGTATGTGTATATTTTCGTTGTTGCTGTTGTTTTGCTTTTGTTTTTGCTTCAAACTAAAAAATCTCATGAAATGTCTATGGCCTTAGAAAATGTAATTTTTTCTTTTTAGATACAAATACCCACATATAGTTCAGATGCTTTACATATGGTGCTAAGAGACTGTGGTTTCCAATTTGAATTTCATGTGAATATTTCATCTTTACTATTTCATGACTGAAGACATTATCCAGAGACATAGTAAAGTTTTGTGGTTTGCAAATGGAGACTGAACAACAAGTACATACTTCTAAATAAAATATGTCTATTCATAAACATCACATCCCTCTGTGGTAACATTAGAAACATTTAAGGCAAAGTCAGTTTGATTTAACTTTTTCATAGCACACATTGTATCCAAGTTGGCTATATCCATTACATAATAAGCAGAATTTTGAGTAGTCGATGTTGGTTGAGAGTAGCATATACTTTCATATTGGCCAATACCTCTTTGACAGACAATTCATGTTGAAACATTTAATTATCTTGATAAGGAAATTACCAGCACTGGCTGATAAATAAACACAGTCAACTACATAAACAGTTTGGGAGCCTTAGTTTTATCTTTTGTCTAGTTTTTCGCAGTGCTTTATGGAAAAGTACTTTTAAATTTCTGCTGGAGTTGACATTTCCATATATTTTCCAAGTTTATAGTCAAAAAAGTAGGGACTAAGGTTTTATTAATATAACTGAAAAGTAAATGGGCTCCTATGTATTCACTAAATATTTATGAAAGAAAGATAGGGAATGCTCTTGCTTATGAACAAGTTGCATACTCTGACTTAAGTAATTATGAACTCTTACTATTTGTCTTTCATCCTAAATTTTGCAAGTTTTCCATTAGAATTTGTTTATTCTTAAACCCATGACAAGTAGATTGAAGGCTAGTGATATTCTGTCTAGAATCTGAAGCCCTGAAAAATGATTGAACTAACTATATGTTTCATTAAAATCAATCCATATAGGATTGATTTTAATGAAATGAAATATTGAAATGGTAATATTTCAGGTGGCCTATGATCTGTAATGTTTTGACTAATTGTAAATTAGGTTATCTTAATCTTGCTACTCAAAAAAATGTGGTTCCCAGATTAGCAGCATTCCCATCACTGGGAGCTATTTAGAGATGCAAAATTTCAGGCTTCAGCCCAGGGCCACTAAATCAGATTCTGCATTTCAGCAAGATCGTCATTAACAAAGCATGTTAAAGTTATGATCCAAAGCATGTTTTTAGGGGCTTGAGCCAGGATCTTGAGCTCTGTTAACAGCTCCTTAACCATTACTTTTATATAATTCAAGTGGTTGCTGCCCTTTTGGTTGGTCCCTTTTTGCCATGGCTTCTGAGTGTCCTAATAGTTCTTTACAGTTTCATATTTATTATGTTCTTAGGATATGTCAGGCTTTGTGCTGGGCATTGGATTATAGAGATGTATAGGTTTGATCTCTGCTCATGAGATATATAGGTTTGATCTCTGCTCATGGACAGTGTAACAATAATACCGTATTTTGATTGGAGCTCAACTTGCCATCATTTTCTACCTCCTTGTAAATCACAGTTCTTTAGGAAAATTAAAATAGTTACTGCTAAAAGGTTAGCAACCACTATTCCAAAATTTTTATAGCATGGTGTATAATATTGAATTATTTGAAATAAGGAGTGGACAAATGACCATACATGTTTATAAATTGAAAGCCAGAATGTTTACAAAGAGATTTTTTTTTCTGAGTTCTAAAAGATTTTTGCAGAAATAAAGAGAAAATCCTTAATGTTTTTTATAAGTTTAAGAAATTGTTCTAAATTTTACTTAGGGTGAACACTTGGGAACTATGGAAGCCACAGAAGCCTTCTTTGCAATGACTCGATTGTTTCAATCTAATGATGTAAGTCTTTTTCTTTATTCTTTTAGGCTGATACAGCTCCTTTTATTTTTTCCTTGGGGATCTTAGTGTTCCAAATGAGGGAA